AATATTCTGAGTTATGAAATTAGGACAATCACTGAAAGCATTTCTGCTGCATACTGAAGACCGATGGTGTTCTTGAAAAAATAACACTTGAGTTATTGTTTGAGTGGCAAGATGAACTAGCTGAGTTTTTTTCATAGGACATAATTTTTCTCAAAGGAATGTCTAATAACCAAACTGTGGCTATTTACACTTATTTGGAACATATTTTATCTCAAATGCAAATGAAGTGAGTTTGTCACTTCAAGGAAAACGACAGTTTTTATTGCCAATGATAAAATTCCAGCTTTTAAGCAGAAGTTTTGAATTTTGGAAAGCCTGCATCTGCTATTTTGAGCTTGATGGCTTCCCAATATGTATAGTTTTCTGATGAGATTGATGTTTATTTCAATTAATGTGGTTTTCTGATAGTGTATAATGAAATGTCAGCATTTAGGCTATCTGCTCAACTCAGTGAGGCAATAACTTCCAAGTAACTACCACATGATGTTACAAAATTGTGCATGGGTAACCATCATGCAAAGTAAAATATAGATCCATAGATTTTAATGTAACAGATATGATTTCATATTCCACATTGCAACTAACCTTTAAGAGACAACCACTTGTTGAGTTTTGGTGTAATATCAAACAGTATCCACATTTTTCTGAAAAAGCTATTAAAATACTCCTCCTTTACCAATCATGTCTGAGTGAGGTTCAACTAGAGTTTTTTTCCCACATACTGACTGAAAAAACATTACAATAGATTCGGTGCAGAAGTAGGTATAAGAATCTAGCTGTTTCGGTTAAACCATTCACAAAATATTTTTATATCTATAAAAATGTGAAACACTTGTCATTACTTTTTGTTTTGGAAAATTTAATTCTTCATGAAATATTATTTGTAGCTTGTAATAGAATTATTGTTCTTTAATGAGTTACTAAGTATTTTTTAAATTTCTCAGTTTTAATTTCTAATACTAGAGGCCCGGTGCACAGTCTGGGACCCCTCGGGAGATAACGACCTGCTGGCTTAGGCCTGCTCCTGGGTGGCAGAGGGCAGGCCCAATCCCTAGGTGCAGCCCCTGGTCGGGCTCAGAGCAGGGCCGATTGGGGAGTTGGGGCGGCGCCCCCTGTCATGCACAGAGCAGGGCGGATCGGGAGGTTGAGATGCCACCCCTAGTCACGCTCAGGGTAGAGCCGATTGGGGGGTTGGGGCACCGCCCTCTGTCACACTCAAGGCAGGGTCAATGGGGAGGTTGTGGTGCCACCCCCTGTCACGCACAGAGCAGGGCCGATCAGGGGGTTGGGGCGCTGCTCCCTGTCACTCACAGAGCAGGGCCCATCAGGGGGGTTGGGGCTCTGTACCCTGTCATGCACAGAGCAGGGTCGATCAGGGGGTTGGGGAGCTCCCCCCTGTCATGCACAGAGCAGGGCCGATCAGGGGGTTGAGGAGCTCCCCCCTGTCATGCACAGAGTAGGGCCAATAGGGGAGTTGGGGCACCGCCCCCTGTCACACACAGAGTAGGGCGGATCAGGGGGTTGGGGCACCGCCCTCTATCACCCACAGAGCAGGGCCGATCAGGGGGTTGGGGCGCCGCCACTGTCACACTCAGGGCAGGGCCGATGGGGAGGTTATGGCTCTACCCCGCCACACACAGAGCAGGGCCTGTGGGGGGGGGGGTTGGGGTGCCACACCCTGTCACACACAGAGCAGGGCTGATCAGGGGGTTAGGGCGCTGCACCCTGTCACACACAGAGCCGCAGGGCGATCAGGGGGTTGGGGAGCTCCCCCCTATCAGGCACAGAGCAGGGCTGATCAGGGGGTTGGGGCGCCTTCCCCTGTCACGAACAGAGCAGGGCGGATAGTGAGGTTGTGGCCACGCCCCCTGTCACACATAGAGCCGCAGGGCGATCAGGGGGTTTGGTCACTGCCCCCTGTAACGCTGATCCCGGTGCCGGGAGGCATATTACCCTTTTACTATATAGGATAGAGGCCTGGTGCACGGGTGGGGGCTGGCTGGTTTGCCCTGAAGGGTGTCCTGGATCAGGGTGGGTGTCCCCACTGGGGTGCCTGGCCAGCCTGGATGAGAGGATGATGGCTGTTTGTAGCTGGTCACACCCCCTTCAGGGTGTGGGTCCCCACTGGGGTGCCTGGCCAGTCTGGGTGAGGGGCAGAGGGCCGTTTTCAGGCTGGCGGGTGACTGAAGCTTCCAACCTGTCCTTTTTTTCTTTTATTTTTTTTTATTTTGGGCCAGCTTTAGCTCTGAGGCTTGGCTCCAGCTCTGAGGCCTCGGCTGCTGAAAGCAGGTATCTGGTTTGTTTGGGTTCTATAATCGAAACACTGTTTCAATTCCAGCTTGAGATCCTGGCTGGCTGAAAGCAGTTATCTGGTTTGTTTGGGTTCTATAATTGAAACACTGTTTCAACTCCAGCTCTGAGATCCTGGCTGGCTGAAAGCAGGGTTTCTGGGGTTTTGTTTAGCTTCTATATTTGTAGCAATGTTTCAAACTGCAAGCTCAGAGGCCAGCAGCCGCAGGCGGGGAATGTTGGCTTCCTCCGTCACTGAAGCAAACGAGCCTCCTGTTCCCTTCAAGCTGCCTGGCTGCCCGCCGCCATCTTGGTTGGCAGTTAATTTGCATATCGCCCTGATTAGCCAATGGGAAGGGTAGCGGAGGTATGGCTAATTACCATGTTTGTCTATTATTAGATAGGATAGTAAATATCAATACACATACCCAGTGCTGGGCTGACGCTGACTCATGAGAGCTGGCTATGTGCACTTTTTCCAACTTTGGGTTCAGTGTCATCTGCTGTTGGCTTGAAATCTGCCATAGTAGGAGTATTTACATTACAGAAATCATCAAATGTACAAATCAGCATTCTCCCTTTCCAAGATCTGGTTGTTAAACATTTATAGCACCCTACTGGATATAAACCACATAAACAAAAGCTCTTCGAGGTCACCATTAATTTTTAAGAGTGTAAAGGAGAGTCCTGAGACTAAAAAGTTTGACAATTAGTTGTATGGCGAAAGGAGTACCTTTTAGTAATTGATTCACACAGAGGTGGATACCTTTTTTTAAATTTGCCTTTTGTGCTGGTAACATTTAAAGTATAGATCCTCCCAATGGTTTTGTTTGTTTGCTTGTTTGTTTTTTAACTTCTTGTTAAGTCTACTGGTTCCATTATGTGATAACCTTTTTATTTTCCCCAAAATCTAAGGTAGACAATAATACCCCAGAGCATGTGGGATGAATTTGCCCTTAGTATATACAGGGTATCCCAAAGAAATATATACATACACTTCGAATAATTGTAAAGGCAGTGTTTATTAATATACATTTCATTTTCAAAATTGAGCTATCAGGTGTTAAAGTGTGTATATATTTTTGGGGGGACACACTGCATGTTGAGTGTCTTTGCCCTAGTTTCTCACTTTTCTGTTCCACTGTTCCAGGCTCATATTGAGGCTATGGCTTCTATACAAAGCCTTCACATATTGTTCAGGTCCATACTAATCTTTCTATTCTGGGCTCTCATGGCCTATACAATTCTGTTGACTTTCATGGCCTATATACCATACAGTGGGGCACTTGGCTCTCAACTGTTTGGTGTGCTATTTATTGTTTCTTAGGTGTTAGTTTTAGCAATTTTGCTTTTTACCCTAATGCTCATCACATAGGTTCTAGTGCATTGATAAAGATTTTCTTATTTTTGGATTGCTAAAGTTGTTTACTTTCCAAGGACATGATATTGTAAAAAAAAAATCTTAGTTGTTGTTTTAAAATATATACATATTTTTTATTGATTTTAGAGAGGAACAGAGAGGGAGAGAGAGAAACTTCAATGATGAGATAATCATTAATTGGTTGCCTTCTGCACGCCCCCAACTGGGGATCAAGCCTGCAACCCGGGCATGTGCCCTGATCGGGAATCGAACTGTGTGACCTCCTGGTTCGTAGGTTGATGATGCTTAACCAGTGAGCCACACCGGCGAGGCAATCTTAGTTGTTTTAAACCCAGTTTTTAATAATTCTCTGAAAGTATTAGTATAAGTAGATTGGAAATTACTGCTGTTTCTTAAAGTGAGGTCCCACAGATGCTTTCTGCAAAATTTGTTTGATTCCATTACCACTCATAATGAAAACTGGCAGCTTATTGAGTAAGTCATAATGAATAGTGGAACTTAGTAAAATGTGGCAGTTTCTAAGAGTATGCTGACCAAATTGTTTACTAATTAGAAACTTGGAAGATTTTGAAACCAGAGGCATGGAGGTATTATTTTTCCAGTAGGGATCTCTGTCAAAAGCAATCAAGATATCTGTATTGTCTTCTTTCTGTGCAAGCTAAGTGATGGTTCTAGCTTTCTATCTGGATGCCCAAGCTAGGGGAGAGGAAACGTGTGAGAGGGTCACACAAGCTCCAAGGCATGAGCTTTTTATGGGTCAGAAACACTAAGAGCATGAGAGACCTTGGGATTTCTTTGGCCTGTGCCTTTTTTGTAATTATGGTGTGTGTGTGTTGGGGGGGAGCATTAAGGTAACTTTGCTATTTACATCAGTATTGAGAAAAGGCATTAGTTTGCATCTGGAATAATTCTAGAACACCACACCGAACATTTCATTTATTAAACAATAATTCACCATATTTAAGTTCTGTCTCCAGTTTCTCTTAAGAAGTTAGAGAGGGTAATTTATACTCTGGCCTATTAGTAGTCCTGAGGTCGTAGTGAGGTAGTTTAACTGCTTTAGAACTTTGTGCTTAGAACATTCTTAGCCACCGAAGCATGGGAACCGAAAGTGAGGAGCATGGGTTCTTTACTATCTATCACATCAGAGAATGACTGTTCCAGGACAGTGACCACTTCCTAATGGTAAGTACCCCGGCTTGCTTATTATTTCTTGGAAGCAGGAAAAATAGTCCAGTTATCATAGTAATGATATTTCTTTTTTTAAAAAAAAGCAAAAAGAACAACAAAAAGGTTCAGCCTTAATCCTCAATCATGCTCATTTTTGCAGGTTTCTGTAGCTGGATCAGGCACCGGAAGAGGCTCCCCAGCTATAACTCTAGTACAGTTACCTTCGGGCCAAACTGTACATGTCCAGGGCGTAATTCAGACACCACAGCCATCGGTTATTCAGTCACCACAGATACAAACTGTTCAGGTTAGCTTCCTGGGTGATTTGTCTTTGACTTTCTTGAGCTTGAGCTTTTTTCTTTTTCTTTTTCTTTACTAATTTATCCTCTTTTCCTTGGGTAGCTTTTATGATCAAGTCATTTTATTAGAGAATTGGAGGGATTTTCCTTTTACCTGTGAAGTGCATTGTACTCTGCTAGACCCATAGATTTGACTTAAGAGTTGCCATTTTGTTGTCAGTTTTTAATTTGCAGAATGAATAATGTCAGATAAATAATTCTTCACATTGTTACTCTTTGCTCAAACTCGGATTTATTTAGCAAAGCTCTCCAAAGGTGCTTAAAAATATTTTGAGGATTCTTTGGAGATGTCTGATAAACATGTTAATATAAAGATTATAGCACTGATGCTATTTTCATGAATAATCACATTAGTAGGTAGTATATTATTTTTAATTCAATATACATAATCCATAGAAAATAATTATGTATAGTCTCTTGGCCTTATGTTTATTCATCATATACTCCTTTCAGATTTAACCTTGGTTTTGTAGATGTGATTATTATTATGGTTGTGATCTGGAGATGTGTTTTATTACTTTTTATTATCAAGATTGTTTTTATTTTTTTTCCCCCCTTTTTAAAAAAATATTTTTTATTGATTTTGGAGAGAAAATAAGAGGGAGAGAGAGAGAGAAACATCAGTGATGAGATAGAATCACTTATTTGCTGCCTCCTGCACACCCTACACTGGGGATCAAACCCACGACCTCGGGCATGTGCCCTAACCGGGAATTGAACCGTGACCTCCTGGTTCATAGGTCAACATTCAACCACTGAGCCATGCCAGCCAGGCTCAAGGTTGTTTTTAAATCCTTAGCATTTTTTAAAATATACTTTATTGATTTTTTACAAAGAGGAAGGGAGAGGGATAGAGAGTAAGAAACATCTAAGAGAGAGAAACATTGATCAGCTGCCTCCTGCACACCCCCTACTGGGGATGTGCCCACAACCAAGGTACATGCCCTTGACCAGAATCGAACCTGGGACCCTTCAGTCCGCAGGCCGGCGCTCTTCCACTGAGCCAAACCGGTTAGGACCCTTAGCATTTCTTGAAATAAACTTTTTTTTAATGCATCATCAATATAAATTATTAAGTATAGATACTTTTCTTGTGTACTGAATTTATTTCTCTTCTTTTTTTAGGTCAGTTTGTAATTGACCTTTAGATGCTAGACTTATTTGAACCTAATTGGTGACAAAAGTTCTTTGAGGGAAAAATAGAAGCACATACTTAATTAGTCTTGTTTTTCCCCTGCATATTTGAATACAGTTTATTGCAAAATAAGGATGAAGGCTGCAACATGATGTTTGAAGTAATAAATTCACATTCATTAAAAGCTTAGTTATCTTTGCAGCACCAGGTGTTTTAATAATTCTCAGTATTATCTTTAATTTTTTATTTTTTAGAATATATTTTTATTGATTTCAGAGAGGAAAGGAGAGGGAGAGATAGAAACATCAATGATGAGAGGGAATCATTGACCTGCTGCCTCCTACATGCCCCCTACTGGGGATTGAGCTCGCAACCTGGGCATATGCCTTTGACCAGAATCGAACCTGGGACCCTTCAGTCTGCAGGCCAGTGCTCTATCCACTGAGTCAAACAGGCTAGGGCTTGTCTTTTATTTTTATCCTCCTGTTCCAAGAGTTTCTAACTCTTGGTTCCAAGAGTTTCTGACTCTTTCTGACTCCAATAATAAAACAAGAAAATCTTTCCACTCTTCTTTTTGTATTATGACTTTTATTGGGGTGCAGATATTTCTTAGTTTTAACCTGGCTGGTATTGGAAGAAAGTATTGTCTTTTATACTCAGTAGGTTTTTTGGATTTTGTGAAATAGATGATTTAGGTAGAGGTGGATCTTTTCTTAAAATTCCTACCTGTTGAACGATGGACAACTCAATCTCTGTGTGAACTTCAGTTTTCAACTTTCTGAAATGGGTAAATTAACAGCTCACATAAGGAGGGTCTTATGATTATATGGGAGATGTGTGAAAGCCCAGTGTAAAGTGATAAATTTTTGATGGTGGTACATGATTATCTGATTGAAACATTTTTTCTAATATATTCTATTCATTGGGCGAGTATGCTTATTTGTGGGATGTCCATGACCAGGGATGCATGGTCATATGTGTAGGTGAACATGTATGCTCATCCTATATGCCTTGGGAAGTATATATTCCTGTTTGTATTGTTCAGATTTTAATAAGCTCTTTTGATTTTGTCTAAATAAAATTCCCATGTAATTGTAATATTAAGTAAAGTGAGTTTTGTGAACTCAGAACTATCTTAGGCCTTGAATGAGAAATGGCTGAATATAATGAGAGCAGTCATGTTGTAGAGAGATTTTTTATTTTAGTTCTCTGACTTTGTTTAATAATCATTTTATTGACTTGAAAAAAATGAAATCATGCTCAAAACTCTGATCTTTCCTTTAAGGAGAAATTCCTTATTTTGACCTTCAAGACCTACCATTATCAAGCCCCAACGGACTTGTTTACCTGCTTAAATATTCTTTCTTCTTTGGACCTATTTAATGTCTGATTTGAAAACCCAGCTCCAGTCAGCTGTGGTGTTGTGAAGAGGGCAGTGAAATCAAGATGCTTTTTTCTGCCTCTGTTACTGGCTCACTCACTCCCTGCTGGATATGTGAGAGTGCTTTCAGGGTTGGGTCTTCTGTATATTATATTTAGGCCTTTCCTATGAAGCCTCACTTGACGTTCTAACCACTCGTATTTGCATTTCTGTAATATTTACTTATTATCTTCACCATTCCTTTCCAGACACACTTGTTCTATAACTGAAATGTTTGTGTCTGTGCTTCCTTTCTTAAGCCAAGTGTAAGCTCCATTAGTGCGGTTTCAGTGTGTTCTGTTTGCTGGACACTTTCCGAGTACCTGACTTAATACTGCACACAGAGACCCTTAGTCACACTTTTTTTTTTTTAATTCTCATTGGAGGATATGTTTTTTAGAGAGACAGAGACATACCAATGTGAGAGAAACATGTCAATTGGTTGCCTCCTGTATGAGCCCTGACTGAAGCTTGAACCTGCAACCTAGGTATGTATGTGCCCTGATGGGAATTGAACCCACGACGTTTGGTGCACAGAATGATGCTCCAACCAACTGAGCTTCCCAACCAGGGCCATAGTCACACTTTTTAAAATAAAGGAGATCATATCTTTTATGATGCATTTCAGAAACTCTTGTATTATAGGTAGCAACAATCACAGAGACAGATGAGTCTACAGAATCAGAAGGTGTAATTGATTCTCATAAACGCAGAGAAATCCTTTCACGAAGACCCTCTTATCGGTAAGTTGTTTCCACTGTAATGATACTTTTTTTTTAAAAAGGGAGAATAATTAATTATACATCAAACCAATTCTTCCACTATAGATTTTCTAAGTCTCATTACTGTATCTTAATTATTTGTATTGTTAAATTATGTTTTAGAAAAATACTGAATGAACTTTCCTCTGATGTGCCTGGTGTTCCCAAGATTGAAGAAGAAAAATCAGAGGGAGAAGGAACACCACCTAACATCGCTACCATGGCAGTACCGACTAGCATATATCAAACTAGCACGGGGCAATACAGTATGTATGCTGCAATTCGATACGATAGTGCTAGCTTTTAAATCTTCTCTTGTTACATTGAAGCAACCTGGGTTTTGACATTAAATTGTTCCATTTTAAAAATGCATCATAATACCTAAACTGTGTATCAGAATGAAAAGTATATCTTAAAGAAGTGAGAGATTTGTATTGACAACTGTCATATACTTTTGGTAAAATTTTGTTTTTACTGAATATAGAAGAAAATTTTGAGTTTAAAATAAAGGGAGTTTTTTTCTTATTTATATGTTTATATTAATGTGTAGTAAAAATTTAAAACTTAACTGTTTTTTGTTGCCTTTATGATGCATGCAAACATAATAAGATACAAATGTCTGTATTTCATTCTTGTTGGCTTTTACTATCAACAATTACATTTTCTACTTACTAATTTAAAAGAAGGACATATGTTTTCTAAATTATGTTTTTAAATGTAATTCTGTTTTCACTAGTCTACTGTGTTGATTTGTGCTGCAGTTTTTCCCAGACGAGAATGGAAAAATGTTTAATTTTTTAAAACTACAGCAATTAGATCATTTTATTTGAAATTTTAAGCACCAAAAGCTCTAAATAAACAGATAAATTCACATTTAGTCTTGTGCATTTTAATGGGCTATTCATTCTGTGCTTTTTGCTCAAATTAAAGCACTAGGTTCCCCACCCCCCACCCCCTCAATCAAGACCATTTGATACATAAAAATACTTTAGTAAAAATGGAGCTCTAGGAAGGAAAAAGCGTGTAGGGAAACATGATAGAAAAAGGACTGAAAAAGAGCAAAGAAACCCACCAAAGCTGCTTAGGTACTGGAATATGTGTGATATTAAATACTTGTGTTTGTCCAAAAACAGTGTTAAGATTTTATATATGTTTTCTGTTTTCCTTTAAAAAGTAATAATACCTAGCCCTAGCTGGTTTGGCTCAGTGGATAGAGCGTTGGCCTGCAGACTGAAGGGTCCAGGGTTTGATTCCAGTCAAGGGCACATGGCTGCAGTTGGGGGCATGCATAATGTCCATCATCATTGATGTTTTTATCTCTCTCTCCCTCTCCCTTCCTCTTTCCCTAAAAAAAATCAATTAAAATATTTTTTAAAGTAGTAATACCTAGAAAGTCTCAAGTCTTAAGACTTGTCTCTTAAAACAAGCTATAATCTCCTTTAGTCTTTGGGAAAACCTTATAGAGTCATTAGTTTTTTAGGATTTTTCTTACAGTGGTGGTAGATTTGCAGCATTAAACTCTCCTTTGGTAATTCTGATTCTGTGGGTAGCTCCTACATAACACCTGGCAGAATTGGGGTATAATTTGTCCACAGTCCCTACAGCAGTAGTTCTCAACCTTCCTAATGCCGCGACCCTTTAATACAGTTCCTCATGTTGTGGTGACCCCCAACCATAAAATTATTTTTGTTGCTACTTCATAACTGTAATTTTGCTACTGTTATGAATTTAATGTAAATATCTGATATGCAGGATGTATTTTCATTGTTACAAATTGAACATAATTAAAGCATAGTGATTAATCACAAAAACAATATGTAATTATATATGTGTTTTCCGATGGTCTTAGGCGACCCCTGTGAAAGGGTCGTTCGAACCCCTAAGGGGTCGCGACCCACAGGTTGAGAACCGCTGCCCTACAGGATGCTGAGTGGACATGTCCTAAGTCTGTGTTAGGAAAGGAAAACTTCCTGCTGTCTGTAAGAGTTGGACCTTGAGGTTTTCACTGTCATTTCTCTTTATTACTTCTCAGATTTATATGCCTTTGTGTGACATATGGTGGGAGTTTTAGAACTGAAAATCAGAGTTTGCCAGGTGTGTGCCTTGGCATTGTGCAGCATACAGTGCCCACCATCCCCAGAGTGGCTGCGCAGGGCTTGCATGGACCTCCTGGGACCTCCTGACTGGTTAGCTGTACACATATTATCATTTTCTATTTGTGTTATAACAGGGAAAAGGTTGGAAATTACTGATTAAATAATGCTCAGGGGACATCTTAAAATTTGAGGAATTATCTAAGATGTCATCTTGAACATATAATTTTGAACATCATCTGGCATATCCTAATGCCGCTTAGGAATTGATAAAAGCAGTGATCTCTTTACAAGGTGATATGGACAGGGATGAGCAGTGGGTTAATTTGCTTAGATTATTAGCTATAATTTTGAAATCATGAAAACATTGGGTTGAGAGAATGTTGAAGCTAGAGATGATGTGAAGGCATCCTGTTCCTGTCATTTGCCAACTGTATCAAAGCAAGCTTTGTTTTTCCCATCTCAGGTTTTTAGTCTTTGAAGTGGGAATAATAGTAAATTGGCAAACTCTGGAGTTAGCGTGAGGACACAAGGAGATAACAGGTAAAAGTAGGGAAAAGAAATATGCTACTTTTGACATGTCACAGAGAAATGTAAGCTAGCTGTGGCGATGTCTCATTCACATTCCCTGAAGCCTTTACTTCTTGTGCTCTTAGTGCAGTTTGGAGAAGAGGGCTCAGCTTTAAACACCGCTGTGAGTTGGGGGCAAGCAGGGTGCAGTCAGGAGCTCTGGTTGAAAAATTGAAAGTCCAGTGTTTAGAAGTTAGGCATTTATCTATTTGCCACATTAGAGGTCCTGGACTATCTCTTATTTAGGTTTCTTTTTTTTAAATTTTTTTATTGCTTAAAGTATTACAAAGGGTATTACATATGTGTCCTTTTTTTTTCCCCTGCCCTTGACAATCCCCTGGCCTCCCCTACCCCCCAGTGTCTTATGTCCATTGGTTATGCTTATATGCATGCATACAAGTCCTTCGGTTGATCTCTTACCCCCCTCCCTCCTGCCCCCCAACCCTCCCCGGCCTTCCCGCTGCAGTTTGACAATCTGTTTGAGGCTTATTTAGGTTTCTTAATTTGGACACATACAGTATTGGTCCTGGCAATTATTTTAATGAAAAGTTTGTGCTGGTTCTATGTGTGTTGTCCCATGTAAAAATTGGCATTTATTGATTCACAAAAAATGGTATTGCCTATGTTAAAAATGAATTGTGTAAACATTTAGTAACACTTATTTCTGTTGATAATTCTTTCATTTGAAGAGTGAATATTAACATTTCAACTTTTTATAAGACATTTATTTTAATTGGCGGATAATTTATATTTACACATGCACAAGATCTGTTTTCTTTCATTGTATTTCTTACTAGGAATAACTTAATAGATATTAATGCTTTAATGTTGTTCCTAAATATCTAGAAATAGAAACAATCTGGTTTTAGACTAGTGAAGTTCATTTTACTAGAATTTCTGGAGATTTTTCTATGTATTTTCATGTACCTGTTTTTGAAACCCTTTCATAACCTTTTATTATAAAAATTAATTTTTTCTTTAACTTTTATCCATGGATGACTTTTCCCAAAACTTTGCTTCTTTTTTCAAAGATTATTATGTTAATAGTATTTTTAATTTGGTATAATATAAAATTAAAGTTAAAAACAAAAAGAAGTAAATAACTTTGTGTGTCAAAATTGAAGAAATAAAAATAAGTATTGCCCGGCCAGTGTAGCTCAGTGGTTGAGCTTTGACCCATGAACCAAGAGGTCGCTGGTTTGGTTCCCAGTCAGGGCATATGCCAAGGTTGCAGGCTTGATCCCCAGTAGCGAGAGACAGCCGATTAATGTTTCTCTCTCATCGATATTTCTGTCTCTCCCTCTCCCTTTCTCTCTTTCTCAAATCAATAAAAATATTTTTTTAAAAAGTAAGTGTATTCAGGTTTCCCCATACGCAAGTTGTTACATTTTTATGTTTATTTATTTATTTATTTTTGTTAATCCTCATCTGAGGATATTTTTTCCATTGATTTTTAGAGAGAATGGAAGAGTGGGAGGGAGAGGGAGTAAGAGAGATATAGAGAGGGAGAGAGAACTTTGATGTGAGAGAGACACATTCATTGGTTGCCTCCCACGGGTGCCCTGACCAAGCTGGGGATTGAACCTGCAACCGAAGTACATGTCCTTGACCTAGAATTGAACCCGAGACCCTTTGATGTGTGGGGCTATGATCTAACCATCGAGCAACACCAGCCAGGGCTAAGTTGTTACATTTTAAATAGTTGAATGTTAAATATTTGACAGAAGCTGGCCTTGTTACTTCAACTTGATTTTTAATAACAAAAACTAATAAGTGAAAGTTAGAATAGTCTTAACTTTTCTACACTGGGGGTAAGAAAAATAACTTAAAATGGGCAAGGATTCATTATTGTAACACCAAGAAAATGAGCTACACTTCAATATCTTTACTGAACATACAGATCTTGGCTATAGGTTTGTTGTATGCCAATTAAATCATTCTGGTCAAAGAAAATCTATTTTGTCTCAGGAGAATATTTTTAAAGATGGTGGTTCAGGGGTTTAGAATTAGCAAAGAATTTACTTCCTGTGTAAGACATGAATTAAATGAGAGAGAATTCACAAATGCATAGTTAAAGCAACTGTAGAGATTAAAGTGTTTGAAGTGTACTTCATTAAATTTTCTCTAAAGACAGTTGTTTTTTATCCCTCATTCTACTATACCCAGCCTGACCTCTTAACAAATAAGAACTATCACCCAAGACTTCAAATATTATTTTTCCAAATGTCCCTTGTCTCTGCTTGCTTCTACTTTATTTTACTAGGGACTTTGTTAGAATGAGTTTCTATTAACTCATTTTACTGGAATTCTTATACACTAAAGGTAAGTGGGTCAATCCAAAATCCACTATTATGAAAAAGATATAAATGAACTGTGTGGACTGCTAAAGAATTCAGAATTCTTAGGCGATTCATATGAGTAAACACAATTCCAATTCTTCATAATAAGAATTTGCACATGATAGGCTTACATATCCTAAAGTATATGCAGTTGCATTTATTTACTGTAAGTAGTGACTGCTTACATTCTCCCAAGGTAATTGTCAAAGCAAACATAGAAGGTATCTACTTAATGTAAATCTGGTTTTTTTTAACCTTGGTGTT